TTTGAATTAAATAGCAAAACCAGTTGTTTGCGATGTTATTTATGATATGTAAATGTATTGAATAGATTTGGGCCATTTGGAGTCGGATACTCATGGCAAAGGCGTGGTTTCTAGTTGATTTTGAGCCGGTTCGAGGTAAGTGGCTTGTCTAACCTTGTGTGGGGGACCTTTTCCCTTAGGATATGATCTTGAATATTTGAATGCCCCGTACGTGAGGTGACGAGCGCGTACTTGAGCTAATTGTTGTAAATCCGTTTCTACTTGAAGTATTTAAATTGAGCTTTCTTGTTTACTTGTTCATTTTAACTGTAAGTTTGTACCTGTGCTAGCTTAGAGACTCGTGTTTAGCTGGCTTACCTGCTTATTTGCTTTAACTGTGCTATTTGTACTCTGTGAAGCATGTTAGGCTATAACTTACTACTTCGTGTCCTGATTTTTAGCATTGTTCCGAGATTTAGGAATCGTTGTTGTTGTGTGTTTAATTTGGGACTACGGGACGGCTTCCAGGGAGATCCCCTGTACTTGAGATATTCTGGACTGAGGGTGCGGGATACCAAGAGATCCCTGGCACATGTGTTTCTATATATATATTGGGATACCAAGAGATCCCCGACTTACTTATTGAGGATACTAAGAGATCCTCGGGATACCGAGAGAACCCTAGTGTTGACGATGAGAATACCAAGAGATCCTCGGGATACCAAGAGATCCCCCGGCTACTATTCCTTGTGAGGGCAGTTTTCCGTGTATTGTTACCTTGCTTTCTATTACTGTTCTTCCTTATTTACCTGGTTTAGATTCTCGCTGTAGACTTTATTTAAACTATTTCTGTTATCTCATTATTTATTATGTTATCTTAGTAGGGCCCTGACCTTCCTCGTCACTACCCAACCGAGGTTAGGCTTGGCACTTACTGAGTACCGCTGTGGTGTACTCATGCCCTTCCTGCGCATGTTTTTTTCATGTGCAGACCCAGGTACTTCCTCCCAGACGCATCATCCTCGTGGTGGAGAGTCCTAGCTGAGACTTGAGGTATATCTGCTACGTTCGCAGACCAGGAGTCTCTACTCTATTCCGGCTTTAGCAGATAGTTCCTTTTCTTTCCTTTCATGTTGTTTAGACATTCTGGTGTAGAGCAGTTTAATACATCCTATTAGCCTGTGTTTCCCGTGAGTTTCCGGGTTTTGGGATTTAGTTATAGACTTCCGCATATTTTGAGTTGTATAGGCCGAGTGGCCTTATATATATAGTTGTTACTTCCGTATGTTCAGTTTTAATTTATTATTCCGCAAATATTAACTCGTTATTCCGCACTGTTAGGCTTACCTAGTTGTAGGAAGTAGGTGCCATCACGACATGTTCATGAAGGGTGAACTGGGGTCGTGACACTTGTTGATTCTCATTAAAACACTGGCCATTGTCTTCGACCAAATTAAAAAGTCATAAAGTATAAAGTAAGTCAAATAAAAATCTTTGAATGTGGCCGAAGTTCCAAACTAGATAAACCAAATCGATAGAAAAAGTGAAATGAACTCAGACCAAACCACACCAAACCTATATGTGTCACGATCCAAAACTCAACATGTCGTGATGGCCCCTATTATGATACTTGGCAAGCCGACAACTCACACATACTAATATTTTCAAATTCAAAATATACTGAAATAGGTTTAAGTAAGTAAAAATCTCATAAAACTGGATGTAAACGCCACAACTCAATACAAAATTTCCCAAAATTTGGGTGTCACTGAGTACATGAGCATCTACACAATAACATAGTATAGTACACTGTCTAAGAAAGTAGAACAGTATAAGTAAAATTGAGAGATAGAGGAGGAGAGTCAAGGCCTGCGAACGCCAAGGCAGATACCTTGAAAATTTCTGAACGGCTGAAACTCCAAGATCAATAACCACCGTGCCTGGAAACACCTGGATCTGCACACGACATGCAGGGTGTAGCGTGAGTACAACCAACTCAGTAATTAACAAGTCTAACTTTTGGGCTGAAAGAAGTGACGAGCTCAACAGGTAAAATCCAAATATAAAAATAACAGTACGAAAACCTAGACTTGCTTTCAAGTTCAATAGTTAAAGCTCAACAGGTGAATATGCCAAGTGTAACTGAAATGAGGAATGATACGTCTCGATATTTATGTGTTAATTATGTATGCCAACTGTAATGCAGAATAGTGATGTAATCATATGCATACTATCACAGTATCAGATCATCCAGTCCTCCCATTCCCTCAATCCTCATAGTCACTCAATCTTCCCAATCGCTCGGCACGCACACTCGCACTCACACTCAGTAGGTACTTGCGCTCACTGCTGGTGAGTCAGACTCTGGAGGGGCGGGTCCTGCACAAGCGCTATAATAAGCAAATCATGGCATGAATCAATAAAGCATGTTGCGGCGTGCAGTTCGATCCCATAAATATCCTTACAATCAGGCTCTCGGCCTCACTCAGTTATCAATCACTCCAGTCTCTCGGGCTCACAAGTATCATTATGATCAGCCCAAACAATGATGATATGATGTATCAATAAATGGCAACAGAGACTGAGATATGATATGCAAATGGTAGCTGTGAATGAGTACATAATTGCAAATTAAACAAATAATTCAACATGCAACACGGCCTCTGTAGGTCCCAACAGTACCAACATATAGCCTAAGCATGATTTCTAACATGAATCACAGTTCCAATTTCTTTAACATATGGGAAATACGTGGAAGATAACAAGTTAAATGACTACACAGTTCCATGGACTCGATCGAGTCACAATTCTTATGGTGCATGCCCACACGCCCGTCACCTAGCTTGTGAGTTACCTCAACATCAATCACATAATACGTAATTCGGCGATTCATACCCTCAGAATCAAGTTTAAAAGTGTTACTTACCTCAAATCGTGCAAGTCTCTACTCCAACAAGCCCTTACCTCGCGAATCGGCCTCTCAACGCCTCAAATCTAGACATAAACAATTCGATACAATCAACACGAGCTATAGGAATCAATTCCATATGAAAATGCTATGTTTTTTATTCAAAAGTCAAAATGTCAACTCAAGAGTCAACCCCCAGGCCCACATCAGAATTCAATGAAAGTTACAAAATCCGAACACCCATTCAACCACGAGTCCAACCATACCAAATTTATCAAATTTCGAAACCAAATCGTCACTCAAATTCCCAAATTTCACTCTTCAATCCTAGCCCAAAATTCCAACAAATCCACCTCAAACACATACAAACTAGGTGGAAAATTCAATGGTAAACAATATTATTGCATAAAAATGATCAAGAGTGACTTACCTCAAGAAACACCCCGAAATCCCTCTCAACGGGTCTCGGTAATTATAGAGACTAGATAAAATAGGGCAATGAGTTGGTTGTAGAATGAATGAATGAATGAGGTCGTTGCTTCGCCCTATGCAAACTAACCTTAGTGTCCAAATATTGTCACGGGAAAGAAGCTTTTTGAATCAATAAAGGAAGCCTATTGAATCAACTTTTGGGAATAGAAGGGAAAATCTCTTTAATCCAAGTTTGCAAAGTTCAAAAACGATAAAACACCTGAACCTTACGTTTATATACACAACCCAGAGGTTCTCGCTTCTGCGGATCATTTAATCGCACCTGTGGTTCCACTTTTGCGAAGATTTCATCGCTTCTGTGATCCATCCAATCTAGCCCACTTCCGCATCTGCGATCATACTTGCGCAGATGCGAGTCCGTATTTGCGGACAAAACCATCACACATACAATCACTTCCCACTTCCTTCCAGGCCGCTTCTGCGATGCCTTCCAGGCACCTGCGGCCTTGCACCTGCGACCATGACCTTCACAGGTGCGATCACACCAGTCTGGGTCTGCCCAGCCATGTCTTATGTTCTAAATTCGATCTGTTAACCATGCGAAATCCATTCGAGGCCTCCGATACCTCAACCAAATATACCAACAAGTCCTAGAACACGATATGAACTTAGTCGTGACCTCAAATCACCTCAAACAACATCAAAAACACAAATCGCACTTCAATTCAAGCCTAACAAAAACTAATAAATTCCAACATCTACATTCGATGTCGAAACCTATCAAATCAAATCCGATTAACCTCAAATTTTGCACACAAGTCATAAATGACACAACGGACCTATTCCAACTTCCGGAACGAAAATCCGAGCCTGGCATCCCTAAAGTCAACTCTCGGTCAAACTTCTCAAATTTTCCAAACTTCTAATTTTTCAACTTTCGCCATGTCTAGCCAAATTCCATTACGGACCACCAAATCACTATCCGGACACACTCCTAAGTCCAAAATCATCCTATGGAGCTCTCGGAAACCATTGAAACTCCATTTCGGAGCTGTTTACATACAAGTCAACATCCGGTCAATTTTTTGAACTTAGGCTTCCAACCTTGGAACTAAGTGTCCCAACTCATTCTGAAACATCACTGGAACCAAACCAACTACTCCGGCAAGTCACATAACAGCAATTGAGCAAAGAATAAGCAGTAAATGGGAGAACGGGGCTATAAGACTCAAAACGGCCGGCCGAGTCGTTACAATATGCGTGTTTGAAATTGATCAGTTAGTGAAATTACCTTGTCTACTCATTCTTTTACAGCAGCATATTCACCACTACGCATGCTAAAAGATAGTACTGTACATTTTTTTATATGAGTTCTACCCCATTTTAATCATTAAGTAAAAGCTGATTTTGCTCCCTACCTTATTTAATTAATATATATAAACTATAAAATATTAAAAAAAATTAAATTACTTATCTTTCCCTTGATGAATTTGGACGTTTTACTCACGGGATTAATGATGTTTAGAATATGTAGCCTCATTATCTAAATTTCATTTCATTTCATGACTGCTATTTACTAAAATGTATTATTCTTTTAGCCGACAGATAATACAAAAAATCCAATTATGTAAGTCTTCTTTTTTCTTTCAAACGAACAACACAAAACTATTCCATCACAACACCTGTTTAAAAACCATATGACAAGCAAACGTAGATAAACCAAATCAACCAGAATTTTGGATAAAATGAATCTACACAAATACTAAAAGAACTTAATTTGGAATACGATCTCTCTTTTTACTATCAATGCAGCAACAGATTAGTCCTCCAGTCGGATCCGGATTTGGAACGCACAGCCCAATCAAAGGCCCAAGATCAGTACACGGACCATCACAATCTGATCTGGCCTTGCATTTGCTTGTGAAAATGCAATCTGAAGAGAAATCTTGGTTGGTTTCAACATCACCTAAAAAAACAGATGTAAAAGAAACTCAATTTTAAGTAAAAACGCAAAAGATCATAAAACAAAGCAACATTTTTAATAGAGAAAACTAGATAATAAATTACCGGTGGCTTGAGAAGGAACAAGAAGAAAAAGTATTAAGAGAATGACAAACAGAAACTTGAGTGAATCCATTTGGGTTTTCGAAATGTTCATTTGTGTGATGAAGGTTATAGTCTTGGAATATTAACATTCTCTTATACAGTATTTTCATTTTGAGACATTAATTGTTTTTCCGTTCCAAGGTTGTCACTATTGCATGAATATCTCTATTTTGGATTCTTGAATTATGATTTAAACATTTTCCTTATATATAGAGATACTCAGATACACCTTATTATTTCCTTTTTCCTATAATAGTTTTAGGATACACACGTTACGCGTGAATTCTATATCAATGAATATATATATATATATATATATATATATATATATATATATTATATACATACAAATTCACATAAATATTATTAAACTATGTGTTTGAGTTACAAAATAAAATTTACAAAAAGCACAAGCTCTAAAAAATGATGGATATTAATCTTATTAGGACAATATAATAAGAGATTTTTACATTCCTATGCCACATAGGAAACCTTATTACCCTCAATGTTTAAGGTTTGACTTAATTACACTTAGTATACCAAATTACCAATTCTATTCCATAATTAATTAAGGGTATAATTAATTGTACATTTTTTACTCCTTAATTAAAGGAATCTGCACGTTTCTCTCTCCTAACCCCTCAGTCCCACCCACGTTTTACCCATACCCACGTTCTTTTTACCATTTTCCATCTTCTGAAACCAAATTCTCCCTCTAAATTCACAGAAAATTGAAGAAACCCTTCAACAAAGTTGGTTCCCCATTTTACTCCAGTTGAAGTTCATCAATGAAGAACAACAAAGTTCATCAAAATTGAAGTCAAATCTTCAAAGTTCATACACACATTTACCTTCAGCTTCAAATTTTCTCAACGAAGAAGAACAAACCTTCAAAGAGACAAGAGAGCAGCAATTCCACCATTGACAGCCATTAAAAAGCTTTGAAGCTTTGAATTCAAATTTGGGTTTTCAAAAATTATTATTTATTTTGATTGGGTGTTGTTGAAAATAATTGAGAATATGTTTTGGAGTTTATATCTCAATTTTGAGGGGTTTTGGTGAAGATTAGACTTGGTTTTGACTGAAATTCAGATTGAAACTCGAAGAAGAAGAGAAGAAGAAGAAATTGTAGAAATTGTAGAAAAATTGTAGATAAATTGTAGACTGTTTTTTGCAGAAGATTTTGTAGAAGTTTTAGTCGTTTTGGATTTGTGAAAACAGAAAATAATGCATCTACAATCAGAATACAAATAATCCACAATTTATCTACAAAATATCTACAAACTGGATACATTGAATTTTAATATCCCAATTCCCATTTCAATTGTAGCGTAATTGGCATTTTCGACATAATTGCGTTTTTTGCAGAAGATTTGTAGAAGTTTTAGTCGTTCTTGATTTGTGAAAACAGAAAACAAAGCACCTACAATTAGAATACAAATAATCTACAATTTATCTACAAAATATCTACAAACTGGGTACATTGAATTTTTATATCCCAATTCCCATCCAATTGTAGCATAATTGTGATTTTTGACATAATTACGTTTTTTCAGAAGATTTGTAGAAGTTTTAGCCGTTTTTTATTTGTGAAAACAGAAAATAAAGCATCTACAATCAGAATACAAATATTCTACAATTTATCTACAATTTCTGCAATATGTCTTCTTCTTCTTCTTCTTCTTCTTCTTCTTCTTCTTCTTCTTCGAGTTTCAATCTAAATTTGAGTCAAAACTAAGTCTAGTCTTCACCAAAACCCCTCAAAATTGAGATATAAACTCCAAACCATATTCCCGATTATTTTCAACAACACCCAATCCAAACAAATAATGATTTTTGAAAATCCAAATTTGAATTCAAAGCTTTCAAGCTTTTTATTGGCTATCAATGGTGGAAAATATCTGGAAGAATATTTACTTCCATAATTGTAGCGCGCCTAAATAGGAATATCTAGAAGAATATGATTTGATCTGATTTACGCCAAATCTTTTTAGAATATTCTGTTCCTCAATTTTAGCTCGACAAATTAGGAAGATTCAGCTACTATTAATTAGTATTTAATGATTGGTATAATAACTGTAGAAAAAATGTGGACAGGGCGGGTAAATTAGAAACTATGCACATTTTTGGTAATAAGGTTTTATATATGGTATAGGAAAGAAAAAATCTCATATAATAAAGGCAAAAAGTACATCACACAAAAATATTCTAATGTCATATCATAAATTTGATATATCTGTATATTTGCTTTAGTAACTCAGATAAAGTAAAATAATATGTTGATTTATACTCAAATATCATGCAACAATATGTTTATCTTGGCCTTAAAAAGTAAATTCTATTTGCTCAAGTACCTAAAATAGTAATATAATTTCATCTTATTCGTATTGAAACTCAAATTGAAAAATACGAAAAACAAAATGAGACTCCACATTGTAAGTTTTAGTTACCGTATTACGAATTTAGGGGTAGTATTTAACCGAATTAATTAATTTATTTTTAGAACAAAAGTTAAAATGATTGTCATAAAAATTCAGGTAGAATATTAATATTTATTATTATTATTATCATATTAGTACAGTATACCGGGGTCCTCGGCCAGAACCGCACGTGCAAGTTTCCCTGCGTGTGGCTCATCCGTGCTTTCCGAGGATTATTTTATTCAACATGAAGTGTGTCATAATATAATATTATTCGCAAAAGAATAAAAGTTTATTAACATGTCACATATATTTTGTGCGTATTTATATAGAAAATTACAATAGTGTTTAAAATATTAGTTTTATTTCCATAAAAAAGTTTACTGTTTACTAATTAAAAATTATTCTTTGATAATATTTTAGTGTGATGGTATTTGAGTATTGATTGAATGTTAGTTCACTTAGTTCATGAATGATGTTGTTAAGATATGTTGTCTTTTATTATTTAGATAACTTTTAATTATAATACTAAAATTATACTAGAATTATTATTTAATTAAATTATTAGCATAGAAGGTAAATGTTTAAAATTTTAAATCATAAGTATTAGAACTTTCTTCCAAAAAGCAAAAGGCTTTATATTTAAAGTTTGCCTAAGTATTTCATGCTACAAAATTCTGTCGAATTTGGTTGCTTTTTTAATATCATTTTTATGTTAATAAATAAAATAAATAAGGAGGAACTTAGTAATGAGAACTTACATAGTTCTCATTTATCAACATGTATTCGTGATTAAAGAAAATGATAAAGGGGTATTAATTAAGTAAAAGGAGTTTATATAAAAAATTTAATTAATTTGCTTTTAAAGTCCTATAGTCAAATAAGGAACGATTTAGTAAACAAAATTTTGGCTGATTTTAATGTGCTAAATATTAGTAAAAACACTTAAGTTAAATGACTATTTTATCTAATATGAAACCTATTATTAAGGGTAAAAAATGCGAACGATATTTCGCTAAAGGCGTTAATGCTTTTAATATAGCATATAGATGGTTACTGAAGAGATGCTGACTTTAACGAATTTCGGGTTTTTTATATTTTTTTTTAATAGGAAAAAGGGTCAATTTTGCACTTGAACTATTTGAAATGGACAATTTTGTCATCAATTTCATTTTTGTCACAAAAATACCTTCACTGTTAATCAAAGAACTCAAAAATATACTCATCGTTAGCCAAATAGTTCAAAAATTATTTAATAGTCTTATCAAATTTCCACGTTAATGCCTAAAGGCCAGCTTTGCTGGTGTATTAAGCCAAGCAAACCCCTAACATAACTTTCTCAATGCAAGAAATTGAGAGCAAATAAAATCATGAATTTGATTTCTGCGTGTAATTCCTCAATTTGATAAATTCATATTAAGCTATCATATCATAAAAAATGATTAAAAATCATAGCCCTCTAAAATTCTTTCGCTGCTAATGAATTCTGAATTTAATCATCACTTAATTGCTTCTACCAAAAATAACCTCCCATTTTCATAATCGCCACATGCTCCTATAATTTCGACTATATAAACATCCATTGAGTGCTCTCTAATCATATACCCTTTCTCTCCCCCACTCTTTTGAAGTTTTAATTATGTGAGATAGAGATGGATGCAGCAAATACTCGTCTGGCCGAGGGTTTCCAAACACATCGTAAACTAAATAGGTGCCGACAAATAACCAATCCGCAATGAATAAGGAAAGGTATAGTAATGCTATGAATGACCCAGTTCAATAGATTTAACGAGTTTAGTATTTTTGACATAAAATATAAATATAAAAAAACAGTTATGTGCACTAAGTTTTCACTATGTAAGAAATTAATTACTACTAAATTTTAAATTTCTAACTCATATAAATTCATAAGTACAATGTGTTCACTACTAAAACCCTCTTAAACTTATTAAATTTAAATTCTAGATCCTCTTACCAAAAATATGTCAACTATCTTCTCAATAAGACAACTAACGAGGCTGTTTACCTCGAAAATACGAGTAATAATTAAATTTGATTTGTGGTTTTAAGGATATGTGATTTAGTTCAGTACCAATTATAAATCAAGAAATATGAAGTATAGATGAGAGAAACGAATGAATCAAACCAGTGTTACCAAACAGTATCGGCCTCGAGCTTAGTGACCTCGAGATGAACCAAGAACAGTAAAGTAAGAATAGTAAAGAGAAAAGACAAGTCTGATGAATAATGAGCCAGAAAAATAAGATAGTATATTCTTTGCCAATGATTAGATGATGTTTACAAATGATTGGGGTCTCCTTTATATAATAGGGGAGCCCAATAAGGTACATTTCCATTTACAGTAAGGAATCTTATTGGGATAGCTGTCTAACCGCCTAGTACGGAATCGTACAATCCTATTCCGGGATTTGCGCCATGATTTTGGGGACGTGATAGGAATCTCGCTCATTTTGTTAGAAATCCATAACGGCATTATTTCGGGGTCGGGCACACTCTGCATCGGCATTCATTGTACTTCGATCCTTGGGCATTGCATCTTATCTTCGAGCTCGAGTATGGTCTATCGGGATTGAACTCGATCTTGCCTGAACTCGGTCTTAAGACGACCCC